TATTACAAATAGCTTTTTTTTTGTTTTGTTTTGTTTTGTTCTGTTCTGTTCTGGACTGCAAAATAGGAACGCCTTATATTTACAAACACAGGTATACAATGAAGTATAACAAAGGTACAGAAGCTTTACCAAGTAACAACAGGATCCTGTTTGAAAGAACCAGCGTTTCCGTGATACGGTTTGGGTTTGGAAACTCAAGATATTAGGTTTAAAACAAAAACAAAATAACTGGAAAAGGAAGAAAAGCAGCAGACTTCAATCGTCCGAAGCCTGCACATTTGCAATCCAGGCTGTATTTGTTTTTATTATGAATATTATTATTATTATTATTGTGGCTCTTTGTAATACTGTCTTATAAAGATGGGACTTTCTCCCGACACTTCCTGTTCAAAATAGGAATTTTACTAAATCAGGCAGAGGTTGACCTATAGTACCAAACGTGAGGATGTGTGGACTACAACTCCCATTCCATGCTGGCCGGGGAATTTCGGGACTTGGAGTCCACACACCTCTTAGTTGCGGAGGTTGAGAAACACCAGCACACAGGATCGAAACACAGTTAAAAATCGCCAGGGTGTTCTGTCGCTGGCATAAACAATTACCGGTAGTCCTCGGCTTACGACAACACTCCAGATCAGCATTTCTGTCGCTAAGCGAGTTGCACCTTTTTTTGCCAGGGTGGCTAAGCGAATTAGTGCGGTCGTTAAACGAATCGTGCAGCCGTTAACGTGAATCCAGCTCCCCCGTTGACTCGGCTTGTCAAGCAAATTCATGTAGTCGTTAAATGAATCGTGCGGTCGTTAAGTGAACCCAGCTCCCCCCATTGACCTGGCTTGTCGGAAGCTGGCTGGGGGGGGAACTGCAAAGGACAATCACATGAGGCCTGGATGAGGCCATGTGCCCGAATTTTGATCACAGGACCGTGAGGATTCTGTGACAGTCGTAAGTGCGAGGACCGGCCGTCACTCACTTTCTTCCCTGCTGATGTAACTGCGAATAGTCGTAAGCCGAGGACTACAAGTACATTGGCTCAAATTCCGCCTAGTATGGCAAGGTAGTCTTTGCATTTCCTGTAGTTCCCGCGAGTCTCGGTAAGAAATGACCGCTTGTAGCTCTTTTGAATGCCATGCGTTAAAAAAAAAATCGTATCAGGTAAATGGCACTTTAAAAAAAATCACGAGAGTCCTCATATGGGAAAAGAATCAGAGGTTTTTTTGGGGGGGTGGATGGGAAGATCTCGGACCGCGAAAATTAAAAATTGCGTTGGAAATTCAGAACTGCTTCCCAGCATCCTTGGAAATGGCATGAAGGGGGGCGAAAATCAGTTTGAAGGAAGTTTTGCTTTCTTTATTCCGTGTGGGATGGAAGGTCTATGGGGATTCTCACTCATCCAGGTCATCGTTATCCCCAAAATGCTTTTTTTCAGGAAGCAACTGTACTTCCTTGTTTTTCTCTGAAGGCCTTTCGCTTCTCATCTCAGGAGCTTCTTCAGCTCTTCTTCAGCGTCTCCAGCTCAGAGCCGAAGAAGCTTTTGGGATGAGAAGGGAAACATCTTCAGAGAAAAACCAGAAAGTCCAGTTGCTTCCTGGAAAAAAAAAACATTTTTGGGATGTAGGATGGAACCCTAAGTTTTACCTGGGTTCTTGACTTTTTCTGGATTGAGCCTTAAGCCAACCACGTTGAAGGTGATTAAATAACACACAACACACACACACCAAGGCCTTTATGGATCAAACGTCTCCGTTCACAAACCTGCTTAGAGTTAATCTTGGTTTATTTTGTGTCCCATGTGGTCATCCTATCACTCAAAGACACGGAGATGCGTTGATTTCACACTCTGAGGAAGCTGCGTGAACCGTCATGCTCTCTGAAGCACAACACAGTTAAGCCCGGTTACCAAACTGCCTCACCTTCTAGTGTCACATCATACAATAAACCATAAACCAGCAAACGGGCAGGGTAGGAGCGAGACGGTATCCCACGGGAGAACGATCCACAAGGAAAAAATTAAAAAATTAACCGAGAAGTTTGAAGGGGGCTGCCAAATTTTTAAACAACCAGCTTCAGCATGTCGGACAAAACATATCCAGAATTACAGTCAAGCCCTTGAACAAAAAGGTCTACTGAATGCAAAATTTCTCATACAGACAGTCCTCGACTTACGACCACAGTTTACCTTGCTAAGCAAGACAGGTATCTTTTGCCCCATTTTTACGACTTTTCTTCCTACCGTTGCTAAGCGAATCACCGCAGTGGTTAAGTTAATAATGTCGTCATTAAACGAATCTGGCTTCTCCCCTCCATTGACTTTGCTTGTCAGGAGGTCGTAAAAGGAGATCACATGACCCCGGGACGCTGCAACCGTCATAAATAGGAGCCGGTTGCCAGGTGGCTGAATTTTTGATCACCTGCCCACGGGGATGCTGCAACGGTCGTAACCGTGAAAAACGGTCGTTAAGTCACTTTTTCTAGCGCTGTTGCAGCTTGGAATGGTCACTAAATGAACAGTTATAAGTCGAGGACTGCCTGTAACGATAGGGAGATTAATCCCTGGGATTTCTTTCACTTCCCTACCGGTTTCCACGTTCAGCAGTTGCATCCATCTACAGCTTGCTAAATTTCACACAGCTCTGGATTTATTTAAAAGCAGAGGATCCTTGAGATCAGAAGTCCCCAACTTTTGGGGCACCAGTGGAGAGAGGTTTTTCCGTGGACCGGAGGGTGTGTGGTTTTGTGTGCTGCCTGCATCCCGCGGATGGGGCTTTGCTTGTTTGTGCGGACCAGTTGCTGGCGTGCCGCAGACCGGTACCGGTCCACAGACCCGGGGGTTGGGGACCCCTGCTTTAGCTGGCCCGAGTCCGTGCAAGATGCACAATTGGGGAACCGAGGTCTCAGCGGAATTTGTAGGAAAATGAGACTGAAAACTGGAGAAAGAAGTTGTGGAACACTGAATTCAGAAATGGAGTGATTTGATCACAGCTACCGTAGTTTGGAGCTGTTGTTATTGGCACAGAGAAGTGTAAGATGTTTTCCTGGATCAAATCAGAATTGTTTTGAGGGAGGGAGGGAGGGAGGGAGGGAGGGAGGAAGGAAGGAAGGAAGGAAGGAAGAAGAGGTGAAAGGCAGAAAGTAGGAAAAAAGGAAGAAAGAGAGGGAGGAATAGGAAAGGAAGGAAAGGAAAGGAAGGGAGGGAGGAAAATAAGAGGTGGAAGGCAGAAAGTAGGAAAGAAAGGGAGGGAGGGAGGGAGGGAGGAATAGGGAAGGAAGGGAGAAAATAAGAGGTGAAAGGCAGAAAGTAGGAAACAAAGAAGGGAGGGAGGGAGGAATAGGGAAAAGAAAGGGAGGAAGGAAAGAAGGAAGGAAGGAAGGAAGGAGAGAAAGAAGAAAGGCAAAAGAAGGGATGAAGGGAGGGAGGAAAGGAAGGAAAGGAGAAAGGTAAATAGGAAGAAGGAAGAAAGTAGAGAAGGAAGGGAGGGAGGAAGGAGAGAAAGAAAGGTAAAAGAAGGAAGAAAGGGAGGGAAGAAACCTGGAATTAAGGAGAAGCTTCCTCACAGTGAGAAAAACCAACCAGTGGAACAGCATGCCACCAGAAGTCTTGGGTGCTCCATCACCGGAGGTTTTTAAGAAAAGACTGGATAGTCACCTGTCTGAAATGGTATAGCGTCTCCTGCTTAAGCAAGGGGCTGGACTAGAAGACCTCAAAGGTCCCTCCCAGCTCTATTCTGATTGACTGATTATCCCAGCTGTAATGATGGTTCCGCAGAGGAAGACCCGGTAGGAAAGTGAACAGATCCTATTACGGCCATCGCAACTTCCATTTCGTTGGGAAAGGCATGGTTACGACACACACACACACACACACACAATAAGAAACTCTTTATCTTCAACCGCCCCACCTCCAATTCCGGGCTCGGGGCCTCGGCCTTATCTAGAACGCTGGCTCTTATTTCTGGGCCTTGTGGTTTACGAAGGTCATCCAGAGAGACAAAACGGGAGATATCCTTTGGGGAGTCTTCAAGGGCAGGCCCCAACTCAGGTTGAGCTGCCTTTCCCCCAGCAGAGACGACATTGCTGGTTTAAGGAGGAGAAGCAAAAGGATCTGAAGTGCTTGTCGACGCAACTGGAGAAGGAACAGGTGGGGGACGCGGATGACCTAGGATTGCGAGAAGCAGCTCTCTTTCCGTCGACACGGCCAATGCAAGTAACCATGATTGATCCCCCAAACCAAACCGAACAGGAAAAAAAAAAGAAAGAAGGAAACCGTATGAAAAATCAGAAGATGGGAAGAGGGGAAAGGCAGACTTCCCTTCTCCACCCAATCTCCAGAGATTGGTGGACAATCCTCTCGGTTCACAGGTCGCTGAGGGCCTTCTATCCACGACGTTCCTCTGCAGCAACCTCTCCGTTTTTCCTCTTGAGGGCAAAGATTGAGGAGAGGCAGCCACTGGAGATGAAGTTTTGTGGGGGGTTTTTTCCCCCCACCCCACACACCGGTGGGGACTTCTGAAGGCAAGAGAGGAAATCTCTCCTGGCACAGCTTCTGGCATGAACCCTGGGCTCCGTTCGGCACCGGTGAGCCCGAGGTCGGCGTGCCCTCAAAGCAGCAAAGCATGATGGAGGTGAACCCCAACGTTACTCCCGCTCGGTTCATGGAGCAGGCAGTGGTACATTCTGGTGGCCACCAAAGAGGAACCTCGGGGTCCTCACCTGGACCCTCCCTGCCTTTAAGGAGTCCTCCTTAGAGATGTTCCTCAAATCCTTGAGGACATGTTCCTCGGGGTTGGTGGGTCCGGCGGGCGAGGCTCAGAGACTTCAAAGCGTCTTCTGGCGACTCTCCTTGGCAGCCAAGTTGGAAACTTGCACTTGATGAAAAAAACTGGACTGAGGCACGGCTTGGTTTTTTTTTGTGTTTTGTGTTTGTGTGTGTGTGTGCGTGCGTGTGTGTTCATTTGTTTGTGTCGATCCCTCCCGGAAAAGTCCTCTAGTGGGGGGGGCAGTTCTCAGCTGTCTATGCTCATGAGGGTTATAACTTGTTCAAGTTTGTAGGTGAGTTTCTGCTTGCCGGCTTGGTCGTCCTGATCGAGGGCTCCCAGGATCTGTGCAAAAGGGAGACAGGAGAAAGGTGTTAGTAGTGGACGGGGCTTGTGTCCAGCTGAAAGGAACCACCCAAGGGATGTATATATGTACTGGATGTATGTGTGTGTGATGACCCAGGGCACAGCACAGAGGCAATGCAGTCAGCTGCCAATTCAAACCGTTCTTTTATTGCTCCAAATTTCCCCCAAACGCTCCCACTTTTGCTGGCAAGCCTCCAACAAAAGGACACACACACACCCCTTCAGCCGACTCTGGCTGAAAGTAGGTTCAAATACAGTCTGACTAGCATAGGAAAGTACTTAAGGCCATAGAGATAACAAGGAAGACAACGTAAACTGAACGAGTCTGTTTGAATCCTAGCTCGCCTGAACAGTTTTTAAAAGAGAGAAGCCGAAATACAGTCCGAGGTCTTTCAACATTCAAGTAACGTGGTCAGTCAATCCAATAGTCCGAGTTTCCAGGTTTCCAAACAGAAGTCACAGAACAAGAGATCAGCAACAACACACAACACTCCAAGAATCAGCATTTGTTCCCGACAAATACCTCTCCCCACAGCGTCTCCTTAAATCCCAGTCTCCAGGTGTTCCTTGTGGAGAAGGGCGGGATGCTCTCCTCCGGAGTAGCTGAGCCTGCCTGTGTTGTTCCCTCCTTCTCTCCACTCTCTGTGCTCTGGGATCAGGTGGGGGTGGCCCTTGCTCATCACCTGAACTCTGCCTCTCCTGTTCCTCCTGTCCCACTCCTGAAGGGCCCTGGCCTGCCTCGGCCTGCTCTTCCCCACATTTCTCTGAAGCCACAGACACCTCTCCCTCAACCTCCACAGGGTCCCATTCCAGTTCATTTTTCTCCGCAGATTCAGGCTCCGATGGAGGCATGACAGTATGTATGTACGGATGGATGGATACATCTTAGAGCAGGGGTTCCCAACCTGTGGGCCAGGGCCCACTACAAGGCTATGGTCTGCTGGCCATCGGGCTGCGGGACAGGCTGGCCGGTGCACGGACATGTGTGGGCACTCACCCCCACTTGAGCTAGCATCATGGCTGTGTTGAAAAGGGGCGCCGCACCACTTGGCGTGAAAACAGTGCGCCACATGGCGCAAAAATGGGGCAGGGCTAGCGCCGCCCTGTCTGCATTGTGTGCGTGCACACGCATAAAATGCTTCCTCCTCCCTTTACCTCCGATCCACCAACCGAGAAAGGCTGGGGACCTTTGTCTTAGAGGTCCGTAAGCATGAGTTGTAGGAGAAGGAGAGGCAAAGCCTGGAGGAGTCGTCAAGAGAGGAATCAGCCTGGAGTCGTTATGCTCCCAAGGTCACCTGAGTGGTGCAAATGGGTATGGAGCCTTCTTGGAACAGATAAAGTTTCAAATGGCCTCGACGACTCTCTAGAACAGAGTTCCCCAACCTTTCCAGGCTGGCAGTCCAGAGGGGAGAGCTTCCAAATTGCTGTGTGCACGCACGCACGCAAACGGGGCCACGCCCACTGGTGCAGTAGTAGCGGCCGTGTTCGTGCATGTGGCACGCGCTGGCACCATGCACATGTGCGAACCACCCCCGCGGAAGCTAGCGCCCATTCGTGCATGCACAAACGGGCCCTGCACACACCCTGTGCTAGCGGCCTGTTCGCGCATGCGCAAATGGGGCACGCATACACACCCATGCTAGTGTCCCCGTTCACACCTACATGCATATGCAAATGGGGCCGTGGGCGCGAGTGGGAGGGAATGAGCGCCCACGGGTGCACGCCCTGGCCAGCCATTTCCGCGGCCCACTGGCCAAGAGCCCACAGCCCGATACTGGGCCGTTGCCCATAGGTTGGGGGCCCCTGCTCTAAAAGGATGCAAATGACCAGCTGTCTGCAAGGAGTATAAGTCTTCCCGTTCCCCACCATCCAGTCAGAGCTGAAGATGCTTCTGGGATGAGAAGCGAAACGTCTTCAAGGGAAAAACAAGGAAGTCCAGTTGCCTCCTGAAAATTGGGTTTAAGATGAGTGGACTTCAACTCCCATGATCCCCCAACCAGCCCTGTGAAGTCCACCCATCTAAATCGCTGAGGAGTTCTATTTCCAGGAAACGATTTGCAGAACATTTATGCCCGGAATCGAAAGACAACCAATTGCGAAACAACAATTGTCCTCCGGCTTTTATTTCACAAGAAGACCATAGAAGTGGCTGAAGGCCAAAACAAAATGTCAGTTCGCCCTTTGGGACAGCCAGGCCTCACCGCCCCACGCTCACCTCTTCGCTGTACTTGCCCACGTACGAGTAGATCTCGGAGAGTGCGCTCATGGTGTTGAACTCGTTCATGTGCATACGCGATTGCTCAGCTAGATACGCATTCATATCCTGGTCGCTAATCGCTGGCATCTTGCCTATATCTGAGTAGTACCTGGTGGGGAATAAAACAAAAAGGGTGAGACCCCCATAAAGAAAAGGCTTGATGTACAGAGATCGCTTCTTAGCTTGCCAATGAACTTGGGGGGAGGATGGGGAATTGGAATGCAGGCTACAAAGATAAAGAAGGCAGACCTTGAGAATCAAGGACGATTCATCAGGTGTCCGACTCTACTCAGAGACATTTTCTCATAACAATGTAATTGCACCTAATTGGGCAATGAACATTTCCCATCCCTGTTCAGGGATGGGAAGGGGAATTCTATGTCTCAAAGTTGTTTGTTTGGGTTTGTCAGTCGGAACCTTGACATTGAGCACTCCAAAGGTGCCCCATTAGCACACATTCCCTCTATATTTCCATTTCGCTGACGCGCTCCCACTCTTCCAAGAATGAGTTTTGCTCATCATTTCCAGTGTTAGTCAACAGAAGAAGATCTAGACCAGGGGTCCCCAACCCCCGGTCCATGGACCAGTACCGGGCCACGGCATGCCAGCAACCGGTCCACACAAACAAGCAAAGCCCCATCCGCGGGATGCAGGCAGCACACGAAACCACACACCCTCTGGTCCGTGGAAAAACCTCTCTCCATGGAAACTGGTCCTTGGTGCCCAAAAGGTTGGGGACCTCTGATCTAGACGACCCCAAGAAAAGATACAGGCCCACAGATTCCCCATTTCTGGTGCCCAACCTTTATGGCTTGGCGGCCCAACCGGAGGGAGGGAAAGGAGAACCAACCTGTCGCTTGCGCAAGTCAAGCAGCACACATGTGCCAGCCAATCATTCGTGCAGCCCGGTTCTGAATGGGGCACAGCCCAGTATTGAGCTGCGGTCTGGGGGTTGGAGACCCCTGGGCTAGAGAACACTACATGTAGCATCCTTCTCAGATAGTCCTGGACTTACAACCCTTCATTGAGCAATCAATCAAAGTTACAACGCCACCATAACAAGTGACTTACAACCAGTTCTTGTCCTTACAACTGTTACAGAATCCCTCCGAATCATGGGATCAAAATTCGGGCAATTGACAACTGGCCGGTATTTACGACGGTTGCAGGATCGCGCAGGGGAAAGTGGGTCCTGTGACCTCCATCTACGACCTTCCCCAGCCAGCTTCTGACAAGCAGTCAATGGGGGGAATCTGGATTCGCTTAACGACCATATGACTCGCTTAACAACCGCAGTGATTCGCTTACCAACCACGGGCCAAAAGGGCCATAAAATCGGGCCCTGCTCGCTCAACGCCTGCCTTGCTTAACAATGAAAATTCCAGTCCCACTTTTGTTCATAAGTTGAGAGCTTAGCCGTGTAGAAAATGGAGGAATTTAGTGAGCAGGGTTGCGAGCACAATCGTTGTCTGCTCTCAGGTGCAACACCTTATTGCAGCTAACACGGCTTTGACACCCCCCTTAATGCGGTGCAAAGATTTGTGCGCGGGGACCTGGGCTTTTTCAGGAGGCTGCTACTTCAGGGGTGTCCCCTGCTTCTCCCCGGCTTTTAAGTCTGTTTGGGCCGTGGAGGACAGGATTTGCAGAAGGTAATCTGTCACTGTCACCGGCAGCTGGGCTCCGCTGTCAACTGGTTAATTAGACGCCATCATTTACATTTTTAATTCCCGCAATCTGACGTTTCGCACGCCTGCTGAGATAGAGTCGCACATGTTCCACACGCGGTCCCTGTCGTTCTCCCCAGGAGCATCCAGAGTTTGGAAGTCCACAGAGAGAGAGAAGGTGAAAAAAAAGAAAAGAAAAAAAGCAGGAGCTGAAATAGAGGACAGGTGAAGCCGTCAAAGTCACCTGCAGAGTTTGGTTCCTTCCCTTCGTTCGACGGTCACCCCTGCCAAATGGATTTTAAAATAGAAATGACCAATTTGTGACCTCTGTCTAATTTCAGGACACGTAGTCCTTGACTTACGACTACAACTGTGCTCCCAATTTCTGTTGCTAAGTGAGGCAGGCACTGCTCCGGCAAGAACACCAAATCGGGGGTTGTCATGGAGTAGTGTATGTGTGTGTGTGTATAGGGGGGTGTTATTATATTATTTTATTGTTTTTCCTCTTGTTATTTTTCATTTTGTATAGGGTGTTTTTCTACTTATGTAGAAAACAGTTCAACCCCAAGCTTCTTTTGGAACGGATGAGTGCGTTTAGAATATAGAATAACATGGAAGGGAGCTTGGAGGTCATCTAGTCCAACCCCCTGCTCAGGCAGGAAACCCCATACCATTTCAGACAAATGGCTGTCCAGTCTCTTCTTAAAAACTTCCAGTGTTGGAGCATTCACCGCTTCTGGAGGCAGGTTGTTCCACTGGTTAATTGTTCTCACTGTCAGGAAGTTTCTCCGTAGTTCCAGGTTGCTTCTCTCCTTGATTAGTTTCCATCCGTTGTTTCTTGTCCTGCCTTCAGGTGCTGTGGAGAAGAGCTTGACTCCCTCTTCTTTGGGGCAGCCCCTGAGATATTGGAAGACTACTATCATGTCCCCCCTCGTCCTTCTCTTCATTAAATCAGACATACCCAATTCCAGCAACCGTTCTTCATATGTTTTAGCCTCCAGTCCCCTGATCATCTTTGTTGCTCTTCTCTGCACTCTTTTGTCTGTTATAGTGGGGAAAACCGAGTCCCCACACACAGCATTGTAGGTTCCAGGCCAGGAGGAGAGTGACTTCTGCTCCTCCAAAATGACCTGCTGAAAGGCAGTCATGCACTTTATAAATATTCCCTGCTCGCTGATCCTGCTGAGTGGAACATGAGAACGCGTGCGGGTATTATACCCGATTAAAAATGAATGGTGCTCGCGCAAGAAAACCAACAGTGACATAATCCACTTTGGAGAGGCGGGCTGTGTTGTGAACTGTTTATGAACCGCTTTGAGGCACTCAGTGAATCAGAATCAACCCAGTGGAACGTTCCCTTTTAACTTCCCTCTTGGGAGAGAAATGCAAATGATCGGATTGACTATCCAAACCCGGTTTTCTTCTGGCCTGTTGCATAGACTGGAGAGCTGGCAGCAGAGTAGCTTGAACGCTTGCCAAATCCAAGCTAATCTATGATAAGGGGAGGGGGTGTTTGTTTGTGTGTTTGCAGCCTGTAACAAGACTGCCCCTGATCTAACCATCTTTGTAACAGCAGGGAGGGCAGAGCTGGCTGGCAATGGGTCATCGCTGCGACGTGTAAAGTGTGGTATATTGCAAAATGTTCAGTCAGTATCTGCTAGCTTAGGGTCCCCAACCCCAGGGCCGTGGACCAGTATCGGGCCGCAGCATGCCAGCAACCGGTCTGCACAAACAAGCAGGCAGCACACAAATCCACACACCCTCCGGTCCGCGGAAAAACCTCTCTCCACGGAACCGGTCCCTGGTGCCCCAAAGGTTGGGGGCCTCTGAGCTAGCTGACTTTCTCCAGGCCTGCCTCCAATAGCTGGGTGGTTTTAGAATAAAGGACACCCCCCCCGGAAAAAGAAATTCAAGCTAATTCAAATTTGAGCCTAGCCTTTTGGTCCAAAGATGGTCATGTCAGCAATTGTTGGGGTGCAAAAACCGTAGCGATCCACAGGTTAGGAGAAGGGGACTTGGAGGGGGACACCGCTGATGTTGGAGAGAGCAACCTATTACAGGTAGGTCCTTGACTTACAACAGTTCATTTAGTGACCGTTCAAAGTTACAATGGCGCTGAAAAAAAGGGACTTACCCCCCCCTACCCTCGCTGCCAATCCTCAACAGAAATGCTCGCAACAATGAAAACCTCGGACAGGAGGAAGAGCGCGGGCGGGCGGGCAGACAGGTGTCTTGCTCAGTTGTGGCTTGGGGGGCACTTTTTTCAGTGCCATTGTAACTTCGAACAATCACTAAGCGAACTCTTGTAAGTCGAGGACTACCTGTACTTTATCACTTTTTTCCTTTTTTTTTTTTTTTTGGTCATCAAGTTTTTGACACCTTGCTAGGCGACTGGTGGTACTCGGATGTTGCCGTATCCTAAAAGTGGTACAATGGGTGACAAGGTTGAAAAGCCCTGACCTAGCTGTTCAGCTCTGATAGTTTCTCCTGCGTCCCTCTTCTCTTCCGCTCTCCCTCCTTCTCCTGTCATAACTCAGGTGCTCTTCTGTCCTGGGAGAGACAGCCAGCAAGAGACGGCCCTTGTGAACCTCTTCCAACATCAACCTTGAACGCCATCCAGGATGGCACGACAGATTAATTTGCAAAGAGCTGGCTCTGGGTGCTTATTCCTGTCAAAGGCTGGGAGATACCTCTATTACTCTGGAGCCGTCAAGCTTCCCTCGGAAAGAGGCCTGGAGGACACGGGCTGACAATTTGTGTTTGTGTAATTGACTTCTCCAGTTGAGGAAGGACTCTTAACGGCCCGCTGGGCTTCAGGCAAGAGCTGGGATATTTTAAAGAGCATTTCTTTACCCGTCTCGCCATCCAGAGACTCCAGGCGGCTTACAAGAAGATCAAATAACATAAAACATTAAAAGGATCAATATTTATATTGAAGTTAACCAAGATAGTTAAGGAAGAAAGCAGTGTACAACAGGGTTTCATGAAAAGGAGTAGGGGTGACGTGACAGCAGGGTTCCAATATCTGCGGGGCTGCCACAAAGAAGAGGGAGTCAAGCTATTTTCCAAAGCGCCTGAAGGCAGGACAAGAAGCAACGGATGGAAACTCATCAAGGAGAGAAGCAACCTGGAACTAAGGAGAAACTTCCCGACAGTGAGGACAATTAATAAGTGGAACGTCTTCAGTCCTTCTTTACTCTAGACTTTGTTCTTGTTGTTAGTTGCGAAGTCGTGTCCGACCCATCGCGACCCCATGGGCAACGTTCCTCCAGGCCTTCCTGTCCTCTACCATCTTCTGGAATCCATTGAAGCTCACGCCTACTGCTTGAGTGACTCCATCCAGCCACCTCCTTCTCTGTCGTCCCCTTCTTCTCTTGCCCTCCATCTTTCCCAGCATCAGGCTCTTCTCCAGTGAGTCCTTCCTTCTCATTAGGTGGCCAAAGGA